ATTGCCTGAATTTCTGAACAATGTTTTCTAAAAAAAAAATTAATTCTTATTACATTAAGATATTTTAAAGTTAATATATATAAAAAAAATGAACTTGAGCTAAATTGACATTTATTAAGTTAAAATATCATATAACTTGAATTTTTTTTTCTTGTTTTGGCCAAAAATTGATATTTTAACTTATAAATGTCAATTAAGTTGCCTATGTATCTCTTATATTAGGAATCAAAGTCCACGTAGTCCTTTCGATTTACTTACCTGTAAACGAGTAGGTGTCTCTAATAGTCGTACTCGTCATCTGCTGTTCCGGTTCCACCACTCGTCGTACTCGTAAAATCGGATGCGTCGTCGTCGTCGTGGTCGTCCGCTTCTTCATCTACGTACATAGCCGTTTGCATCCTTCGTTCGGCCTTCTTCAAATCCATCAGCAGCATTTGTGCTTGTAGATTTTTGGGCGCCAGCCTCGATCATCGTGCGTCGAGCATATAACCTCCCTCGCTAAAGGCTTGTTCGACTGCAACTTTAGATGCTGGGACGGCGAAAATCACTTTGGCCATCAAGCAAGGAATAAGATATATGCCTTGCATTCTCGACCACCAGTCCAAGACATCGAAATTGAGTGGCGGAATTGGTTCACGAGCAATCGTAAGTATCAAATTTGACGTTAGGTAGTGATCAAGCTCATAGTATCCAGTTCCCTTTGCCCTTTCAACGCCAGCATTCTTGTAGGGATTTAATGATGCCCACCACTCCTTATAGTTCGAAGCGCCTACTTGACTACCGCCGTAAGAAGAAGACCCGCTGCCGCTGCCCCGGCCGCCACGAACAAATGTGCTGGAAGGTTCTCCTTGTGCGATCGCTGTTTTCCTAAACATGTCATACAACAAATTTTTGCTTGCTCGTCGAGCAACAGTACGTTAGGTTTTTGACTGTATGTCGGGACATCAGTCGGGATTGGGAGTTCATACATATAATTATAGTACATGTTAAGCTGCTCTACCAAACGAGCTTCACGTACCAAAGGATATAACAAACATGCAACTAAACGTGTATCAGGAATGAAATAATAATATTTTAACCATTTCTTCAACTAAATAGCCATATTTATTAAAATTCAAGTCGTAAAGATCCTTGAAAGCCCACATTATGGATATAGCTTGACTTAACACAAGCTGAGCAGTAGGATAATAAACACCTGAAAGCATGTTAGTAGCATTTTGAAATGTTTCTAAAAATTGAATAAGTGCATTACAGTTCTCCCAATCTCTTGTTGACACTCGGACATCACAGTCCTTACGGTTTGCACGGTTAAAAAAATTCTGCAATTGTGTCATAAACGGAACCGTATCACTCAACATTTTAAATGTTGAGTTCCACCGGTTAGGAACGTCCGGGTTGAAATTTTTTAGGTTTCACCCCTCGATCTTTACAAAATCGTCCTCATTCTTTCATTTCATGGGGACGTTTATGTAAATTATTAACAACATCCCTAATTGGCGTGACCGAATCTTTAAAAACATGATAACTAGCTTGTACACAGAGATTTAAGACATGACATATACAACGAATATGAAAAAATCTTCCGCCGCAAATTGGAGTGCAAATATCGGTAAGTTCACGTATAGATGCAGTATTTGCAGTAGCATTATCAAACGAAATGGAAAACACTTTTTTACCTATTTGATATTTATCCAATTTTTTTTTTTTAATTCGGGACCCGCCAGTTCCCGGGTCGTACCGGCGGGTCGGCGGGCCAAAGGATCAAGGCCGTTGGATCACAACGATCCAACGACCCATATTAATTTATTTTTTTTTTAAATTCTGACCGTTGGGCCCGTACCCAGACCGGCCCGACTCATGGCCCGGGACGACCCAACGGCTAGTCGGTATGGGCAGGGCGCGGCTCCTCTGACATGTTGATGGGTCGGGCCGGTTTCATTTTGAGAATCATTTCGAAAGAGCAAGAATAAAAAATGATTCAAATTCACTCGTCAAATAAAAAACAAAAAATAATAAATAGGAAGTAGTTGTTGTCGGCGGTCGGCCCGTGACCCGACCCGGACCGGACCGGACCGTCGAGACAATTTTTTTTGTTTTTTGAACCTGGACCGAATTGCGGTTCGGTCCAACGGACCAACCCTTATGTGGCTGGTTATGGGCCGGTTCTGGCCGGTTTGGTACCGGTTTCCGGTCTGGGTCGCGAGCCGGTTCGGCCCGCGGCCATGTCTAGCTCGACCTGCTCAGTCCCGAGAGCCGCACGACGCCACTTGCACATCCTGACCCACTGCGACCTCAGCCGACCTGCGTGATACCCAATGACCCCGAGACTTTCGACCAGACGATTTTCGGCTAGTGAAAAATCAGACTATCTCTATGAACTAAAATCTACAACGTCTTAGAGTCTGCAAAATTTTTTAAGCTGTAAGTTTTCTACATTGAACTGTAGATCCGCTGCGCATAGGTTTGTTCGTAGATTAATTCGAGACCTGCAGAATTACGACAATACTCGCAGATCCCAACATTTATCTCATCGAGTTTATGGTATATTAATTACTGATAATATATTAATTGACTCTTTGTTCCGAGACTAGTACCACTCACTGCTTATTATTATGTCAAAACTTAATCCACCCGCATGGTTTAGCATAATAATCCTTCTCGATCTCATCTCAGAGAAATTATCAGAATCGCACACGGTGACCATAAATAAAGAACAACACACTATACATACAACATCACTACCCAAAACACATTGGATTATTGATAGGATCTCACATTTTATTGAATCAAAGTAGCAGCTACTGCATGCACGTGTTTGTTTATATCTTACGAGTTAAAAGTACGTTGTAATTAATTGAGGTCTTCTTTGTTTATGATCAATTTAAAACAAACTTATCCTCTCTGGAATCCGTTCAATGCACACAGTGCACTAGTGCAACCAATCAGTCAAGACAGATTATATAGTTAACACTACAACCACTCACAATGAGTTGTTCATTTCCATCTAGGTTGTGAATTTAATTTTTACAAGTAACCAATACGTAATCTTCTGTCTCATCAATGATGGACTACAATATTCAAATGTAAAACATCATAACATAAAACAGTTTAATTAAACGCGATTCTCATTAAACAAAATATAGTGTTTATTACTCTAAAAGTTGTTGTAGCAAAATATATTTTTTTACCGAGTACCGAATCAAAAGACTCTTTCCCCGGGTCGACCTCTCGAGGAAGACGGTTCGGAATTTAGCGTTGGTCTTGATCACACACGAAAAGAAAATAAGTCCTAAACACTCTAATCACGATTGATTTGGGAAATCAACTAAAACAAGCTAGAACTAGAAAAGCAATTTAAAGAAATAACAATTAAATTTCTAGAGAAAAAGAAGAAGTTCTAGGGGTCGGGAAATCTCATCAAGTCTTAAACTATGTTGAACGCTTATTTGTTCAGTTACGATATTTAACAAGCCTACACGTCTAGAGGGCTATGTTCAATAACTCTTCGCAACAAGAGCACAAACATAAACGATAAACTCATTCAAACAAGCAACACATAGACAATACTTTTACGAACATGTCTACTCTATACGAGCCTATATCGACCGACGTCTGCCCTCTCAGTTTTAAATGTCGATTAACTAGGTTAGAATGGTGATCAATCAACTAACCATATAATTCACACAACTCGTATAGATTGAACAAAACACATTCCTCATAAGTCAAAACAAGAATCAAAATCCCTAACTCTAGGTGAATGGATTACCTCATGCTTAGATTCAATTTCATGTTAGCCAGAATTAAGAACATAAAACCAATCAACAATAATAAAATAGAATTGAAAAACTTACAATCGGATTAAGAGTTGCAAGATTTTAATCCAAACATCTTTGTGTCCAACAATCCAAGCATGGGAGAAAAAAAAAAAAAAAAAGCGGAGAAATTTATCCTAACAAAATTGAGTTTTTGGAAAGAAAAATTGAAAGGAACGACATTGGGGGTTGTTCCTTAGGTCCGGGGGGTCGTTTTTATATATAGAGCTCGAAAAATAGAGTTAAAACGAGTAAAAACAGAGAAAAATAAAAACAGGGTCGAACAGGTCGCGACTCGCGAGTCACGAGTCTGACGGGTCGTGGGGTCGCGCAGCTGGTCGGAGGCTCTGTTAAAGTCGCGAGTCGCGACTTTGCTCTCACGAGTCGCGACTTTGGACTGCACTGCGCCATTTTACGTTTCGGGGTCGTTTGGGCTCATCCGAACTCGGAATTGAGTTCCATTTTTTGCTGCGCGTCGCTAACGAACCCATCCATCCAATTGTGCTCTCAAAACCAACTTTTCATGAAGATAAAAATTCTCCCAAAGCTCCCGACCTACACACTAAAAACGACAAAACACGAAGAAAACCGGGAAAACAAACGAAAAACACCTAAAGACTCAAAATAAAGAAAAACACATAATAAAACACGAAACAACTAAAAACGAAGGAAACGATCTAAGACGGGGGATAAAGAACAGCAAAACGAGCACGAAAAATGCAACAAAAATGGGACAAACAAAAGTCAAGCTTTAAGTACATACACTAACATTTCTAACAAGAGAAAAACACTCAAACAAATCAAATTATTTTACGAAAGTGTAAGACATCTAGGGTATTGGAACCTCCCACAAAGACATTTACAATATATTATTGCAAGATTTTTCTTCTTTATTCTTCTTTTTATTTTTCATACATACATTGATTGTTCTTTTGTTTTTTCTCATCCAATATTATTATTTTTATTTTTGGATAATAACTTTTTGTGCTCCGAATTTCGACGTGTTTCCCACTTACAATATAAACTACTTTTTTTAACAAACAACAATATGAACTTTGTGATTTTTTTCACAACGCCCCCTAAACCACCTCTACTCTGAAATAGTTTTGTTTAAATAAATTCTAGTTTTTAAGAACTTTTTTTCTTTACACATGTTTTATGAAAAAAAAGTACGAGACAAAATTAAAACTACTTCGTGAAGGCAGACTCCAATCCATCCCAATATGGCAGATCCAACCGATCGATAAGGAGGTCGGCAAGGTCAAGGAGCTCTTTGATCCAAGGGTGACGTCCGCTGGTATAAACAACAGACAGTTCAAGAATAATGCACAAGCACTTGTGATTGTATTTCTCAAAAACAAGAAGTTATGAATTTAAAGCAACAAGAAACAAGCCTTGATTATTGGTATTATATACTGAAATCTTGGTTTTGGATTATATTTATACTTTATCTTTGTTGAATGAGAATCATATTTGATTAAACAAGTTCTATGTTCTGTTGTTTTGCACTAAGATAAAATGGTTCATTAGCGGGTGAATAGAAGAACATTTTATCAGTCACTTGCGAAACAAGAATTTTTGGTTCACAGCCTAGATGGAAATGAACAAACCATCAGAACGGTTGTAGTGTCAACTGTACTGTTGGCCGTGACTTATTAGTTGCACTGGTACATTTATGTATTGAACACGATCCCAGAGAGTAGTAGTTTGTTTCACACTGGTCGTCGTGAACAAACTTAGTCTCGGTTAATTACTGCATTTTGTTAACCCGTAAGATATAAACAGACGTGTGCATGCTGTGTTTATTGCTTTGATTCACTAAAGGTGAGATTCATTTTGTTGAGTCAACATTCCTGATGTTTTGGGTAATAGTACTGCATGTACTATGTGCTGTAAGAATATTTACGGCCACCATGTGCGTCAGTTTGATGATGTCCCTGAGGTGAGTTCATGAAGGATTGTTATGTTAAACCCTGCAGGTGGATTAAGTTCCGACATAATAATAATGTGATGAACGGTGCTAGCTTCGGTTTATTAGATATTAATTAATTCTTGATTGTCAGTAATCGAATTAATTAATGGACATTATATCTTAAACACGGAGTGGTAATTTGAATAATTATAATTGGAGTCTCGAATATAATATCGGGGATGATGAGGGAGTCCAATAATGTTTTCGTTACTGGACCGAAACATTATTTAAGTAATTAGCAAGAGTGGGCTTGACTCAAAGTTAGGCCCAATGCTTAAGGAGCCCAAATCATCACCTCCTTAGGATCCCTACTGTAGCTCTATAAATACATCATTAAGCTCATGAGATTGAGTAGAGAAGACAGATAGAGGCCCAACGTGTATAACACACGATTAGCCGCCCCTCTCATACTCTCTCCTTCTAGTTCTCATAGTCGAGCTTTATCTTTATTTTGTTGTTCCACTGGTATAAAATAAAGAGGTTTCGAGATATACAGTAGAAGATCCTGAGGTACTAAGACCTCGTGATCATCGATCGACGACCAACCTCGTGATCGCTGGCCATCCGACATCGACGACCACCGCGAGCCACAGCCCGCGCCAGCCGACGACCACCGCGACGATCGCCGAGCCCAACTGCACGCGAGCCGCAGCCCGCGACGATCTCGCGCAGCCCGCGACGATCGCGCACCCCGACGACCTCCACTCATAGCCAGCTGACGCCGCAGCCATCCGACGACCACGCGACGCGCATGCTGCTCCTGGTCATCGCTCCCAACGAGCTTCTCGAGTCCGATAAGAAGAATTTGGCAGCCCAACAGATTTTGAGTTCAGACAATCTCTTACAAAGGAAATTTACAACAACTCAGAGTCTGCAATTTTAAGTCGTAAGTGTTCAACTCTAAACCTATAAATTCGTTGTGCATAGGTTTATTGTTGTTATTGAATTCATGACTTATACATAATGAGATCCTTACCAATCCCAACATTGACCTTTCTAGAAATCCTCCAGAAATACCAAAAACTTACAGGACAAAAAGTGAACCTTGATAAATCTTCCATCTTCTTAAGCAAAAACACCCCTCCCATTAACCGAAATCGAATTTGTCAAACCTTACTAGGGATCACTGCTCACTCCTCAAGAAGATATCTTGGGTTACCCCTTGTGATTGGGAATTCTAAGATTGAAACCTTTGCCTTTGTGGAAAAAATAGTGAAAAAAAAAAAAAGAATCTTGAATCGAAAAGACAGATTACTCTCTTCTGCAGCTAAGGAAATTTGGGTGAAATCAGCTCTGGGATCTCTTCCCTTATACGGAATGTCATGCTTCCTCCTCGCTAAAGTTGTTGGCACAAATTTAACAAAACATTTTGCAGCTTTTTGGTGCAGCAAAGATGATCCTTGTAAAAAGAGCATACATTGGATATCTTGGACCAAAATCTCTATTCCTACAGACAAAGGGGATTGGAATTTTATCATATCCATCTGATGAACAAAGCTCTGATTGCAAAACAAACATGGAGGATACTCACAAAGACAAATCCACTTGTCACCAAGGTTCTGAGAGCAGAATACTTTCATAAGGAGATTTTTTTCACTACAACTAAGAATAATAACAACTCCTCGATGTAGAATTGTTGGCTAACTGTAAGAGACTCATTCCAACTGGGCTTCCAGTTTGATATCAAGAATGGTGGCAAAATCAGCATAGGGGACCACTCCTTAATTCCAAACTTACCAGGACTGAAACCTGCAAACAATAGACAATTGAGAGAAGAGCTGTTCTAGGTTAAAGATCTAATTGGATCTTTAGGATGAACTGGGAGAGAGAACTAGAGGAGAAAAGTTTTCCAAAGTATGAAAGTGAAGCCAATCTCAAAATGAAGGGGTTGGATCTTACAGGAGAGGATAAACTAATCTAGGAAGTTGGGAACAAAAGGAACTTTTCGTTGGCCTCAGCTTTCACTAAACTGGTTGGAGAAAAGTGGGGCTTGACAAATATGGCTGAGAGCAGCAAGAAACAGAAGACAACCAAGAGGATGAGGAACATGAGATGAAATCTCAAGATTAAAGGCAAGATCAAACATTTCATCTGGAATTGTACTACAAACCTTGTTCCTGTCATTAGCAATCTTAGCAAGAAAGGAATGGACATTGACACAATTTGTAAGGTCTGTGGGGAAGCACTCGAAACATGAGAGCACCTCTTCATTCACTGGACAAGAACCCAAAAGATTTGGAAGCTCTCTCCTCTCAACTGGGATAGGAAGCATAAAAATTATGTCACTTTCAAAGGTTGGTGGTCGAAGTTTCCGCTCTCAATAGGTCAGAAGCTACAGAAGCAAGATTGCAACTCACTTCTCACATTCTCTGGTGGATTTGGAAAGAAAGAAATCAATGGATGTTTCACAACTTATGAAGACCTGAAATTTCAATAGTGAATAAAGTTTTCAATGATTGGTTGGAGTTTGTTAGTTGTGTTGGTTAATCTTTTTTAGTTGACGGTTTCTTGTTAGTAGTAATTAGTAGCTTCTTTGTTTGTTTTATTACTGTTTTGGTGTTTTGCAATTTATTTGGCTAGATCCCTCAGGTTATGTAGTCATTTGCTCTTTTGTTTAGGTAGCCTATAGTATTTGCAGCAGGAATGGTGTTCAAGCTACCAGATTCAATACATTTGTTACTGTCGATGGCTAGAACCCCATTCCCTTTTTAGTTGTTTTGAGTTAGGGCACTTACTATTAGTGTTCCTCCTACTCTATTTTTTTTATGGTTCTTGTTGGCTACTTAGCCTTCGGTTGTATTCTTCATTCTTTAGAGCAATAATATCTATAGTTTTGAAATAAAATGCAACAGGAAAAAATAAATTTTCGGAGTTTCTTCACAGGATTGATCGTTTTTTTCTGAATGAAACAACTATTGTAATGTTTTTTCCCTTTTCGCTACTTTTTATTTTACTAGTACGTGACCCGTGCGATGCACAGGATGTATTTATTTGAGGAATATTATATTTTAAGACGTATAAAAAAATGAAAGAGTTATAATAGGTATGCTAATTGTACATTAACATAATGTTCGACAAAACAAAAATTATATATTATTAAAGACCTCCTTGTACACAACATTATGAGTTTGATTATTAGGCAACTCGTCATTATCACAAACTAATATCTTCAACCCCTTCTATTATTTACACCCGAAACAACAACATATAATTGGCCATGACTAAAGACATGTTTCTTTAGCAAAATCTAAATTGATCTGCTTAATTCCAAAGTAGTAGTGTCAATTTTTAATTAATTAACATTTGAGATTTTAAATAATAAATTTGATATTCGAAAAATCATATTTGATGTATAATTCAAAATCATGTTACAATTAGGAAAAAATCAGGTTTCATAGATAATAGATTATATTTTTATAGTGATCAAATGAGAAGTAATTTTAATATTTAAATTTAAAATTTGAAATGATAAATGATTTTGTATGTATTCAGATTTTTTCGAATAAATAATGAGAAGGAAATTTAAATTCAACAAAAACGTAAACATTAGCCGAAGTTACCTAACCTAAATTCAAAAATTCCATCAATTTAGGGTGTTTTTAAGGCTGACAGGTTTTATGTCAATTAATTAAAAATAAAAAATAAAAACTGACAGAATTTCAAGTGCATTTATGGTTGTCCAATTTTTTGGGCAAGAAATTAAAAAGAAATTTTAAAAACTGCCGTAAATAGAATGCATGGTTGTTGACTTTTCTTGTTACTATTTTTGGTAAATAGGTTGTCTCTTTATATAGATATAGATATAGATATAGATTACAAACAAAAATTACGACCATTCTTTTGCCAGTAATTTTCTATTTTTAAAAAGAGGTTCTGACAGTGGAGACAGAGTGGTCGACGTAGATGCAGTAGCGGACAAGGGGAGCGTCGAGGATGGTGAGGAGATAGTTTGGCGCTAGTGGGCATACAAGTAAAAAAGTAAACGAGTCGAGTCGAGCTCGACTTCGCTTCAGTATTAATGAGTCGAACTATAAAAAAATCATGTAAGAATATCAATTTTCAAACTTGTAAATAAACTTAAACGAGTTCGAGCTTGACTTGTTGGAGCCGAGCCGAGCGTTAATTTTCAAGATATAGTTCTGGAGACAAAATTGGTTACCTCACTTTTTGAAGTACTTGAAAGACATAAATGCTTTTACTAGGAAACCATATAATTCAAATCCACAGTCTAGCGTCCCGAACGGAGTGAAAGTCCAGTTGCGAAAAAAGACCGGGGAAAAGTATTCATAGAGGAGGAGGAAAAGCAAAGCATGAGCAGAAGAGGTGACTTCATTTTCTCTTCCTTTTCCTTTTCTGGTATTCTTGTAAATATCGTCTGAAAATTTGATCTGAGGACTCCCCCAACAGCTTCTGAATGATTTGATGGAGAGCAGGGCTGATTTCAGGTCGATTCTCCCGTTTCTGCCTGTGATCCTCCGATCTTCCGCCGTCCTCTGGCCTCCTTCGGTGGCGGAAGCCCTCAAGTCCCTCTCCAAAGGCCCGGTTCACAGCAATGTCAATTCTGGTCAACTCTTCGCCCTCGCCCTTGCTGACCTGCGCAATTCTCTTGGGCTTCACCCTATCAGCCCCTCCGCTTCACTTGGGTTATCTCTCTTCTTTGACGATGTCAGTTGAGCTCCTTCATTTCCTTTGAATTATCGTTCACTCTTTCTGCGTTTTCATCCTTTTTCAGAAAAGCAGTGGCCTTAAAAGTTTTGATTGTTAGCTTCAGTTGGAGTCTTGATGTTTTTAAGGATTGTTTAGCATTAAAAGCTTACTTTTTGTTTCTATTTTTAAATCCTCTTAGTAACTTATTATATCTTTATGAAGTTTTTATAGCTTAGTGAGTTTAAGATCGTTTGTTTTTAAGTTACGGAAAGGTGATCAAATTCGGATATATTTGGGGATGCACAATGCGTTTGTTATTTCATTTACTTGTGTTAAAATCACTGTTGGCTGGTTCTAGTTGTTACTGATTTGTCTTTCGAGATTTGTACTATATGATAGTATATCTAACAATTTGATTTTTGATTGTTAGGGACTAGACAAAGTTTTGTATATTTTACTGCATTGTGTATGTAGAGTCGCTGGCTAGTGCAGAATGGAACTTCCTTTGATGGCTGTACTCTTGAACAATAATGCGAAATGTTATTAGAGTTTTTTGTTTGCCTCTTTACTTTGTCAAATCTACAGTCCAGCACTTGTGAGAGTCTTAACTATGTAGTTTTCTTGGCAAGTCTTTCTATGCACTTTTATTGGCTGTCACTTCCTAAGGACCCGGGAAAATTATGTGAATATCTTTAAAACAGTTGTTTGTTGTTATTACTTTTAGTTGATGAATAAGGATGAGGCTGAAAACTGGTTTCAACAAGTGGTTCCACGACTTGCTGATTTGCTGTTGAGGTTACCAGCATTATTAGATTCCCATTATCAGAACGTATGTACTTCCAACGGGACACCAACTGGTCTTAGATTGTTGAGATCACAGCAGTCAGGCATTGTGTTTCTTAGTCAGGTAAGGTTTTGTTTGCTTGTTTATGTTTGTGTTTGTGGATGTGTGAAGGATAATCACATGGATATTTTCTTTCTGGATTGTAGATAATGAAATACTGCTCTTAGTTGGCTGTTCAAATTTCATAAGTATATCCAGTGCACCTACTCTATCTATCTATCTTCAATTCTACATATATATAAATGTGTCTGTGCATGTATATATATGTAAATAAATCAGTAGATTGAATCTTTAGATCTGTAAAATGTTATTGTTGTGTCTTAAAGTTCTTATAATGCAAGGGAAGTTGAGTTGCTTATTATGTTATTGGCAGTTAATTCAACTTCAGTTAAACCTGGATCATAATTCTTTGAAATATTACCTTTCATACATATGAGTTCTCCTTAGGGTGTCAAGTTTCTCATTTCAATGGTGACTGTTATAGTTGTTTTCATGTTTGTATTTTAAAAAAATTATTCCCCAAGTTCGAAAATCAGCATGTTCTTCTTCTCATAAAGCCGGTATTTATAAGTTGCTATATCTTTATCTCTACCTCATAGTATTAGTAACAATCCATTTCTTAGTTCCACAGGCGCTTTAAATGGTTGATTGGAATCAGATATGCTCTTAGGCATTTCTTTGCATATGGTTTGAACTTCGAATAAAAATGAAAGAACTTACTCGCTAGTGGTAAGAAACAAGCTTAGACATGCAAATAAATATGAGACTGCAACTACACTGTTCATTGTTTGCAAATTGTTGATTGTTGTTGAATTCTACTGATGCGCAGACTTTATAGGTGGAGAAGTTGTCAAGAGTTGTTTCAGATTTCTGTATTATGTATGGGTTTTGGCACTAGGTTAAATGCAGTGTTCACTCGCATTCGACTTATAAATTCAAGTTTGAATGCATCAACCTAGCTGAGTCTGATGTCTAGACTTCTAGATGTCTAAGATGGCATAGGATATAGTTATGTAAAACCGTTTGAATCTTCAGAAGAAAACTATTTCAATATGTATGTATGTTTGTGTTTGTTTCTTTGTAGTTTTGCTGTAGCTTATATTTTCTCAGTTACGGTAAATATTTCTGATTTTCCTTCTACAAATATTATTTTTTCCAGTTCAAACTCCTAAGTGCAGTATTTCAATATGTATGTATATAATCAAATATCTTCATATGTTTTTTATACTATTCCTAGTCAATAATATTTCCCTTCCCCTGCAAGTTTCCAGCTTAATCTTCAAACTTTTAGTTGGAGCATTATAAGTTAGGTCTAATTGTGAATTTATTTTCTGGTGTTTTTTATTGTATCTATCTGCTGAATAGCTACTTACACATCCAAACTACTCAGGAAGGAATACTAGGATCAGATTAATTGAAAGTCATACTAAATACCACTGAATCTAAGTAATATATAATATATATATATATATATATGTAATGAATGATAGCTTCTGAAAATGACTTCGACATTGGAGATTGTTCTTTCGGATGTAGTATCAGTCTATAAATAACACAATCCATTGATTGTTGCAGTCTGTTACAAAGAGAGTATGATCTGGTCAGACTTGAGACGGAAACATACTGTCATTGTAGAAGTTGTGATACCATGTTTTCATCAAGCCTAATATTTCCTTTGTTTGGACAGTAAAATAAGGTCAATTTATTTGCTGATTCAACATCTTGCATTGAACCACTATCTTTAAGTTTGAGGTTTTATCTGTATTTCAGGAACTGATTGCAGCTCTCCTGGGTTGTGCTTTATTTTGCTTGTTTCCAACCACTGATAGAGGCTCCAAACATCTTCCACCTATCAACTTTGATGATTTATTTGCGTATGTTTTCTATATTTATAAATATTTGTGTTACTTTAGTGTTTCTTCTTGTTGATAGCTTTCATTAATCTGACTGTAATTTAAATCTTGGTGGATTTAGTAATTTACATCTCCCTCGAAATAACCATACCTTCCATTGATTTCCAAGTGCACACGCACTTACTTTATCAAAGTTTGAGCAATTAACAACAAAAGCCTTGCTTTTGAATATAGTTTGCATTGCTTGCATCATTTATACAGATGTTGACTGACAGTAGCTGAAGCACAATTTTCATTCTCTTAGCACATTTTGTTTCTACGAAAGTCAACTTGTATGCATTTTTATCTGGAACTTGACGGGACATCCTTTTCTGTTGCTAGAAACTGATAGTAATACAAGTTTTATTTTTTGAGTTTATGTAGCTTGAAGATCGGTAATTTCTTGACTTGAAGCAAATTTAAAGTTTATCTAATAATACCATGGGGTTATTATGCGGATTAGCTTGGTGTGGCTGGGCAGCAGAGTGTTTTCTGATTTTCATTGAAGTTCCTTTTTTATTTCATTTTCTTGCAATGCTGCTTACAAGTGTGATTCATCTGATGTTGGCCGACTTTTCTTGCTATCTGTTCTTTCCCAGGTGTGTATATGAGTTTTACGAAATGGCTCAGGAAAACAAAATAAAGTGCATTGTTCACTATTTCGAGAAGATATGTTCAAGTATGCCTGCGGGTAATGTCTCCTTTGAGCGCAAGGTCCTCCATTTGAAGAACAGTCCATCAGATATTGTCTACCCGGAGGCTGATTTCTGGAGCAAATCAATGATCCCTCTCTGCCAATTGGAGGTAAACATTAGAGGGATTTTGACTGATTTTATTCCCATAACGCATTTTATTCTTTTTCAGCTTTCAGTTTCCTCGAGTAAACAATTCACTGTTTAACCTTATCATGCTAGATTCTCCCCCATAATGTTTTGTCCTTAAATAATCAAGCAAACAGAAATGTGAATGTGCATCTAATATATTTTATATTTTCAAATAGCCAGTTTCATGTATCCTTTTCATCTAAAATTATATCCAACAGCCAACTCTTATAACTCAATAACAAAAAAGAGACATTTTTTCTCAAGTAGTACTATTATTTGGCTTAGGAAATAATATCCAAGAGGCAACACATCCATGGTGACCCCTTTTCTGCTCATCTTTTACTCAAAATGTTGATTGCATTTCTGTTTTGTGCGGATTCTATGGTAGGTTCGAACCACTGGTTTAATAGAAGATCAGCCAAAGGAAGCTCTTGAAGTAGATTTTGCGAATAAATACATCGGTGGTGGTGCTCTGAGCAGGGGCTGTGTTCAGGAAGAAATACGTTTCATGATCAATCCCGAATTGATTCTCAGCATGCTTTTCCTTCCCTCAATGGCAGATAATGAGGCTATCGAGATTGTTGGTACTGAAAGGTTCTCAAAGTACACTGGCTATGCTAAATCATTCCGCTTTTGTGGAGATTATGTAGATCAAAAGGGTGTGGACACAATGGGAAGGCGAAGGACGAGAATAATTGCGATTGATGCTCTTTGCAACGTGGGAAAGAGACAGTACAGTCTAGAATGTCTCCTTCGCGAAACTAATAAAGCATTCTGTGGCTTTCTTGATCAACGTAAATTCACAAATGAAGAAATCAATTATGAGGAGAACCAAGAAAATGAGAGACAAAAGCATGAGATTGGTGTTGCAACGGGTAACTGGGGATGTGGGGCCTTTGGAGGAGATCCTGAAGTTAAAGTTGTGGTCCAATGGCTAGCGGCTTCTCAAGCACGAAGGCCGTTTATATTATACTACACATTTAGTTTGGAGTCTTTGCAGAAGCTCGATCGAGTGGAACAGTGGATTTTGTCTCAGGAATGGACTGTTGGTGACCTTTGGAATATTTTGGTGGAATATTCGACTCAAAGGCTGAGAGGAGAGACCACTGATGGTCTCTTCAGATGGCTCATTCCATCCTTATATGATGGCAATGATGATCCAATGGATGTCGATGCACTTCACATTACATGTATTTCTTCTAGTTCATGTTAACGTCAGATTTTGTCCGGAAAGATTCGTTAACTCCTGATACTGGATTTGTCGTATTTTATCTATTCATTTATTCTTTTCGTTGCCGATAAATCAAAATGTGGAACTGGAAATCTTTAGTGATATTTGATTATTTCAAAAGTCTCTGTTTATGCTTTTGTACGGAATGTGATTAATCAAAGAACTATACTCGTAACTGTGGATGTCAATTTTACCAGCAAGTACTGGGGCTTTGGGTCGGATTAGGTTTGTCCAAATTTGGGTAGGGATTCACCCGCCTCCGACCAATATCAAGATTAATAAAGGTTGGTCAATTGCTACAGAGATCATTCACAAAGAAACAATTAGAGCGTCAAGACTAAAGGCGGTATTTGAAGAGGCAAGCTATATTAAAAGATACTCCCAATAATTTGTTATAAACTGAGTGTCGAGTTATAACATGATTTCTTTACAATAAACTTGTTACAAACTAAGAGCATCTCCAATGTGAGATGTTGATTTAATAAAATGTTAACCACATCATCAAGTTATAAAGTGATTACAAAAATTACTCTCCAATCCATAATGTTATGGACTCTTTTATGCTGACATGGAGACAATAAATATCCAAAGTATGAAGCCCATTTTCTGGTTTTTCAAAGAGTGTTTGAAAGCCAACTCATAAAAAATCTAACATATTTTAAGGTTTTGAAAGGGATGCATTGGAGTTTAGTTCTTTTGTTTAAGCTTCTCCTAGTTAGTTTAGTTCTTTTGTTTTTTTAGTTTGGAGTTTTTGGTTGGAAGTGATGTATGCTAGCTAGGCCTTATGGCAGTGGAAAGTTGCATTTCTTCTTCTGTTTTTATTTTGTTTAGTCCGTTGTTGTTGAGGTTCTAGGTGCTTAATGAAGCATCTCTCAGGTTCATTGTTGTCAGTGTTGGTATTGTACATGTACTCTTTTCTTTAATATAACATCTATCGTTTTGACCAAAAAAAAAAAAAGGGGATGCATTGGAGATGTGTATTCCAAATTAAAGTCTTCTCTTTTGACATTCATATTACATGGATTTACATTCCATTCATCATTTGACATGTGTTCAAATTTAATTAATGTTCAAAGTAGAGCATTAGAGATGCTCTAAGTGTCGAGTTACAATAGGAAACCTACAACTTGAGTGTCGAGTTACAATAGGAAACCTACGAATTGAATTGATATTTTCAGTACTTATAATATAAACTAAGAATTGAAAATTGCAATAGAACTTAAAGGAGGAAGAGTATAACCGAGGCGAGAAGATAAATACGCTCCGTATAGTGCTGACGGGCATGGGTCTTATCCCCAAAGGTACAACGACAATCATCTAGAAAAGCTGCATGACACCAGATTTCCGAGCTCCTCAAATTAGAACAGAGTCGAAAACTGAGCACACTTGTGATATGATGCGTGACGCTTTCAGAGAGCATGATGCAAATGATGTAATGTTGTGAATTTTTTCTACAGCTCTAAACAAGTCCTATATATAAATTCTAACTCAGGCGAGGAGGATCAAATGTCAGCTGCCACTAATAGCAGGTAACAACCCGGCCATGTGTTAGGGCATACTGTAAAAGCTCGGTTTTTAGCTTATGACAATACCATTTTGAATGAGATTCGCTTTTTAGTCATGTGTGTGTGTTTGCAGTTTATTTATTTATGCTAGAATAAGTTCCTTTATTTTACATTGTAGATAATATGGTTTGAGACGAGTTGAACAGAAAGATCATATTATTGGTTCCTTGTAAAATACAAATAATGTTCACAACCTAGACAGAATTGAACTATCTGTTGTGAAAGATTGTAGTCTGATTTTGAGTTAGTCGGTCTTTGACTAATGAATTACACTAGTACATCTTGAGTGTATTGGACGGCCCGAACGAGATTATTTTATACTTACTAAGTAAATAATCTAGACATCAGTAATTGATGCATTTTCTTAACCTGTAAGACAATAAACGAGCATATGTACCAACACTTGTTTATTTGATTTACCAAAGGTGATAACTATTCAGATAGGTTGACATACTCGGTATTTTTGTAAGTGTCGTTGTTTACATGATGTGTCTTTGATATTTTTTACGGTCACTGTGTCCCGATCCCCGGGTTGATAACGTCCACGAAATGAGCTCAAGAAGGCTTATAATGTTAAGCCCTACAAGCGGATTAATCTCTGGCATAATAATTAATAACTGAATGGTATTGAGGCCAACGTCATCTCCTCGATCCTAGACGTGAGATCTGCCATGAGGCAGTCAGACACATCGGCTCAGCGCATCAGGGCGTCGATGGCAGCATCCCATCTATCTTCGGCATCATTACGTCGTGGAGGCATCGCGGATCGTAGCTAGTCTCTGGATTATCGTAGTAGTCTCTGGATATCAACTGGTGTAGTGCAGCGTACGAAATAAATAAGCTCCTAATCCTATCAAATTCCTAACTTATAAATAAGTTTTTATTCCAAAAGATAAATATTCTCCTAACAACTTAATAAGATAACCAAGGAAAGATAATAATAATAATTATGCAAGTAAATAATTAATTTAAAGCCATGATTCGATCGAATTTTTCCAATAAAGCTATCGCGAGTTCATCTTCATCAACAATTTACACCATCAAAATTATACAAAAATCAAATTTAGCAAACACAATAAGAAATCAATATATGTGCTAGCTTATCTTACAAAAGTTAAGACCTGTGCCTAAATGTTAATGTAGTAGCTTCACGTCCACTATGAAGTGGAATCGCCCCCGAACGAGTAACGACCAAAACCCAATTCCAATACAACTCCTCGTTTATTTATTTACCAATCACTGTAATCGTCATATTTGGACTTTAATATATCAATTCTTGAAAAGGTAAAATCAAAATTGAAATTCCACAGTAATTATTTACCAAACACGGTTTTGAATATTACAAATAATTAATTACATTACATTACATTACATATACCTGCACAATTAGTGCCTATATTAAAGGAGACCAGATGCAATTGGTCTCTCCTCCCTCCCTCCATCTCTTTCCTCTTTCTCTCTCAATCTCTCTTTCTCATGGCCTGGAAAGTCCGAACAACGTTCATATACGTCGTCGCATCGGTTTTCTTCTGCGCCTCTCTCTACCACCACTACTTCCGACACGCCTTCTCCTCCCAATGCATTACGCCCTCCCCCGCCGTCCTCACCGTCGCAGCCTCCGCCGCTAATTTCGTCATCCATGAAAACCTCACCGATGCAGCTCTTCTTCCCCCGCACGACCCCGTCGCCACTCCCTCCCCATCGCCGCCGCCGCCGCCGCCGCCGCCTCCTCCCACGACCTCCATTCTCCTCCCGGACTGGGAGGTCCTCGTGATCGCATCGCCTGAAGATCCAACCATCCTCCCCCGGAATTCCGATGGATACTTCTGTTTATTCGACACCGGCGAGCTATCACAGGCGAAATTCTCCGGCGTCCTTCCTTTCCCCGATCGAGCGACCTTCAGCTGCGTCCTTCCCTTTAGAGCTCGCCGGAAGCTCCCGTTCAGGCAGCCGATTCTCACCAAGTCTCCCAAGGCCGGCGAATCGCAATCGGACGCGCCGCCGGTCCTGCGGTGGTCGTTCGTGGTGTACGATTCGCTGACGACGGACGAAGACGTGGTCCTGTTCGCAAAGGGCGTGAACGTGCGGCAGGGGATCAATCGCGACCCGCAGGAATTCCGCTGCGTGTTTGGGGACAGCGAGATTGACGGCGTCAGAACCACCGTCACTTCCTCCATGCAGGAAGTATTCCGCTGCAAACGCCCCAATCTAACGGCGGTTGTTGCTGAATCGGGCCGCCCCGTGAAGGTCTCCCTGGAAATTGTCTCAGAAAATCGATTGGTCCCATCGGTAGCATACTACACACCCCCGCGCAGGTTAGACTTAGGGAGCGGCAAATCACTACTGTGCGCCAGCACCATGGTATACGATGTGGCCAAATTCCTCCGCGAGTGGGTTCTGTACCACTCCAGAATTGGGGTCGACAAATTCCTTCTGTACGACAATGGCAGCGATGATGACCTGGCAAAATCCGTGGACGAGCTCGTGAAAGAAGGTTTCGACATCACCATATACTTCTGGCGGTGGCCCAAAACACAAGAGGCAGGTTTTTCACACAGTGTGATTTATTCCAAAGACGCGTGCTCATGGATGATGTATTTAGATGTGGACGAATTCATATATTCCCCCAATTGGCACAACATCTCCCAACCATCAAACTCACTCCTGCGCTCGTTAATCACACCAAATTCCTCAAAATTGGGACAAATCAGCATCGGCTGCAACGAATTCGGGCCGTCCAATCAAAAAGTGCATCCCCCAATGGGAGTGACCCAAGGCTACAATTGTCGGAGAATGCACGAAAATCGGCACAAGTCCATTGTGCGGTTATCCGCTGTTAACGACTCGTTACTTAATGCAATACACCATTTTTACTTGAGGCCAGGGTACAAGACAAGAAAACCGGGCATTCACGAGATGGTGGTGAATCACTACAAGTATCAAGCGTGGCCCGAGTTCAAGGCCAAGTTCAGGAGGCGCGTCTCGGCTTACGTGTTGGATTGGACTCAAAAACTGAACCCACATTCAAATGATAGGACTCCTGGTTTAGGGTACGAACCAGTCGAGCCACAGGGGTGGACTAAGAAGTTCTGTGAGGTACATGATAATAAGTTGAAGGATTTGGTGAGGAGATGGTTTGGAGTTGGGTCGGGTTCAGGGTTGAAAATGGCTTGGCAGAGGTGATATTAACCATATGAGTTTGCTTTTTTCTAAAAAAAAAAAAATCTTTTTAGCCTGTAAAGAATATGATTAGTTTAAGTGGCTGTGGTGGTGCATGGAGCATTACTTTGTTGGCATGATATTGGATTTGAGTGGAACTTGCTATTGGCATATGGTGGAAGGGTAGAACTTTTTGATATGTTGACTTAGTGAGATTTGGGGAAAGGAATATGGAGATGCACATGAAGAAAAGTTTGCCACAAAGGAAGGTATTTTTCCTTTGCAAGACTCTTTAATTATTTTCTAAGTCTTGTCTGTGAGGAAAAAAGAGGGGGGAGGGAGAGTCTTTTTTTACTTTTATATGGTTGTGTAGGCATATAGCGATAGGGACATTAGCCAGAATTGATTCACTGTGCAGTTCAAGGGATTGGTATACTTTAATAAATTCTTGTCTAACAGATGTTGGTTGTTATTAGTATGCGCTTTGTTCTTTCTTTCATTTAAATTGTATGGTCCTTTCTTCAGCTTATAGATGAATGTCTGTTGGAATAATTTCATGTCATCAGCTGGGGAACTTGAAAAGAAATTGGAACTAAACCACTGGTATGCAAGCTGATATAATGTAAAGGAACATTTTTAGAAAACCACAATAGTCTCCATCTCGTGCACATGTCATCAAGACATGTGCACACATATATAAATAAAGTATTATAAGTTCTACTACGATATAAGTAAAGTATTTCAAGTTACTCGTAAGAATTTGGTACGATGCACATGTAAGTGATATTAAATTTACTAGTGCGCATCTCGTGCGATGCACTGACGAACTTGCTACTTACAATATTTTTTAAAACTTTATTTTAAACATAATTGTTTATATTTAATATTTAATTATTGCAATAAATACAAAATATGAAAAATTATATATTATTTTTTTGAATATAATGAGTATCTTCAACTAAACTAATAATATCCAACACATGATATATAATATATGATAAATTAATTATATGAATCGTCGTGCTTTTTAATATATATATATATATATATATAGAGAGAGAGAGAGAGAGAGAAGGGATCATATGAGAAATGGATACTGAAAGAAATGAGAATAAGTCTGGACCATGGAATCAAACATATCAATGGTTATGATGAGGTCAAACTATAGTCAATCATTAATGACAATCTGGTAATTATTTAATCATATTATGATCAAATATGTCATTTGACCAATAATTAAGGATAAATTGGTCAATACACATATATCAAGTGGGACCCACTACCAAATCATTTCACTCCACCTTTTCTCTCTCCTCAATCTCTCTCTCTCTCTCTCTCTCTCTCTCTCTCTCTCTATCCTCACACTACTTTTCTCTTTCCTCAATCTCTCTCACACCCTCACGATCTGAAACAGAACGCACACACTACACACACTCACTCACAAACACACACACATACACACAATTTCGGCAGGTCGTCCGCCAGTCCTCCATATCGCCACCGCCTTCCGCCAACAGCCATCAGTTTCGCGCCCACATTCCGGCCACCGAAGCTTCGCCATGCAGCCGGTTCCGCCAGTCACGTTGCAGCCGACAAGAACCAAGTCGTGCCAGCCAGCCACAGCAAACAGCCGGAGGCGAGACACACCGGCGAAGTTGCAGAAGCCGGCGGCGAGACAAACCACCCGCCGGCCGCGTCGGCTCTCACCCGTCGCCACTAAGACGTCGCCTCCACGTCCCGCCATTCCCGTCGCCGGCGAGAATGGAGCAAAAACCTGAATTTCGAATTTGGGAGTTTAGGCCTCATTATGAGAATTTGATAGGGTTAAGAGACTTAATATCAATTTTGTAAAGTTTATAATATTTCAATTTAATACATGGGTTGCATTGGTAATTTACTAAAAGATGTATTTATTGCACAATACTGTTAAATGCATTGTACATTATTGTTCAGTGTATCGCACATTACCGATGAGCGCATTGCACAAGACTGTTCAGTGCATAAATTGTCGAAATAATTTATTATTTATATTAAAATTTTATTCAATATGTTAATAATTTTATTTATGATTTTATTCAACGTGTTGGTGTATAAAGTGCACTACTATACTTTTGGTATGTTAGCGTGCTTGTGTTTTATGTGAACAAATGATGTGATGGATGTTAAAATATTATGTAGATACATTTATTAGATTTATGTTGTGTGATATTTTGGCGGGAATTATTAATGTTAATTGTGAGGTTTGGTGATAAAATGTAGCTTGTCGTTTTATAAAATGCAATGTATCGTTTTATAAAGTGCAATGCATCATGTTATAAAGTGCAATGTGTTGTTTATAAAGTGCACTACATGTTTTTGTTTTTTCATGTGCGCATACAAACTAAATTCAAACCAAAATAATTGAGTCATTAGTTAACTAATTGAAAACCCTAAATAATTTAACTACTTTATTATTTATATTATAAAAATACATTTAGTATTCTTATATTTTTTTTTATTTAATACTTTATATATTTTTGGTTGAGAACATAAATGAAATTAACCTAAATAATTTAATTAAAAATTAATTATATTATAAAATATATTTAGAATTTTAATATTTTTATTTAATATTTTTATATGTATTTCTGTTGAAAATGAACAATATATATTTGCATAAAAAAATGTTAACAAAAATCATATTGTTTATATATATTTTCATAAATTTCATATTAGACCCCGTGACTAAATTGAAATTTAATAAAAATATTGAAATTGCAATTGGATCCTTTGAAATTGTCAAATTCTCAAACAAAAGACCCCACAATCCAAATTCATTTTTCATCTCGTCACTGGAAAGGGCGCAGCGGCCATGTTGCCCAGCGGCATGACGAGGTGGCAGCGAGCGGCAGATAGACGGCGGTCGAGGGCGGCGCTGGTTGATGGCACTGAGGAGCCGGTCGATCTTCTTGTATTTAGTGAAGCCATGTCCGTTCGAAAGATTAATGGCAGATTCTGGCAGCTGCGAGCGGCATCAAGCGGCGTATTAGATGGCGGTCGTGGGCGGCCCTGGTGGATGGCGCTGAGGAGCCGGCCGATATGCTTGGATCTTGTGAATCCATGTTCGTTCGGTTCATACAGTGGTAGATTCCGGCGACTGCCAGCGGCGGCGAACGTTGGCTAGCAGCAGCAATTGGCGAGTGGCGCTGGTGAGCCAGCAGTGTCTGTGTGTGGGCGTCGTATTTGTGTGTGTTAGTGTGTCTGTGTGTGTAGATGGCAGCGGTGAGAGCGGCGCTGTGGGGATTCCGGCGGGCGGGGGAGTGGGCGGAGATGGTGGCGGGGCGGCGGCGCCGATTGTGAAGGTGGTGGTTGNGTTTCTTTCATTGAGAACCATTCTCATGTGAACCCAACCATATATATATATATATATATATATATATATATAATAAATATGAGATATTTAAGATTCATATTAAAATTTGTAATGTGGATATGAGATGAAAAATGGATGTGCACAAAAATAGGTACTACGAATCCACATAATATGAGATTCTTTCTAAACTTTGAAAGATTTTGTAGTTAGATAAATATGGACAAAATATCATCAATTAAGTTGAACAATCAGAAATATAAAAATTTATTTCCAAACGTAACATTCTTTATTAAATAGATACGGATTTTTAGTTGTGACCATAAAATATGAGATTTGTAGATAGATAAATATGGATAAAAAAATATTTAACAATTAAGTTGGCATGACTTTTCGCAAAAATTTCAAAAGTTTTATTCGTTAAATGATTGACTGGATTTTGTAACCAAATTTACACGTTTGACCAAAAAAATTTAAAAAAATGATTAATCGGATATTATGGAAGCAAGATTTTCAATATTCTTTCTCATTATTTGCCAGATTTACCCGTAGCATTTAAGAAAGTCATTGCCCATATTTTTAAGAATTAAAGTTTACACATTATTTTTCTCAAATAAACAATTATTTTTTTTTTTTAGAAAAAAATCGAATTAAAATTTTTATTCAGCCGCCATTTTCCAAAAAAAAAATACTAAGAATAGTAACTTTGAAAGTTTTAATACTATTTCAAGNTTTATATTATAATTGAAAGAAATATTGATAGCCTTCATTTTGTCTATATTAAAAAAATCTACTAGTATATCACCCGCACGTTGTGTGACCCAATGTTAAAAAATGATGTGACTGAATTATAGTTTAAATAAATACAAATTAATCAGAAAATATTTATAGAGATAATAAAAAAGTCGGATGAAAATTTTATTCATTATATTTTAAATTGTCTCTCTAAATATAATATTATTAGTGGATGAAATGTACTCATTGTTACCATTATCATCATCATAAATAATAACTATCCGACAACACAGATCGTGATTATAGAAAAAAAAAACATATATCTCATGGTGATTATAGAATACCATATGTATTTTTCATAAATATTTTCAAATTAAACAAATTTAACTTAAAAAAATATTTGTGATATTCGATAAAAATTGGTATTTGTCACATTAATGACACTTCTTGAAACTTTTTTCCTAAAAATGTCTTGATAATAACATAATTTTCTACATTTGTGAGTAACTGAAGACATTATTACTATTATATAGATAAACTGATATAGACTAGAATAATTGAACTAAACATGTACACATATGAGCCATATAAAATTATAATATATAGATTAAATACTCAAGAAAAAATACGAAAATGACTTCATTTTGAATCGCATGCATTTAATTTCAAATAATTAGGTCCACATGTCTTGGACTTTTTTTAATTGGCATAATAAATTTAAATTTCATTTATTTGCAATATTAGGCAGGTGGTGATCAGAATGACGTGCAAGATGGATCACATTTTGAAAGTTACAAATATTCACAATAATCGTTAACGTTCAGGTTAATAACAAATTACTTATTTTTTGCACGTAATTCATGCGGAATGTACTTTAATAAAAATTTTAAGAAATGACATTGATAGAATTTTCGTAAAATGATAATAAAAGACATCTAAATAATATTATGTAAATTATTAAAGAATAAATATTATTTTGATAAAACTAACTTTATGATATATGATAACAAAAGTAGTTGATGCATTATTGTAAGTAGTATTGAACTTTATCTATTGCAAAGATTGAGTAGCGATAATATATTCTTGTCATTATCTTAAGAAAAAAAACATGTGTTATAATAATACAGAGTTAACAATAGTTAACACATTATGCTAATTTTATTTATAAAAATTTATAATTGCATACTTGTGGATCAATAAAGAGATTACAATGTAGGCAGTCACTTTAGTCACAAACTTTTAGATGACCTCAGATTTAAGTCTAAGTGAAACAAATGATATCAACTAAAAATAAAATAAAATAAACAAACTATGTATTTTGGGCTAAAACTATTTGATCACTGGACCAAAACCAATATAAAATGTCTCATATATAACATTCTATTAAATAATTGAATGATGAATATATATTGTCTTATTCAGTCTCCATAGTCAAAATCATATCGCCACTCTTTCTCTCCATTATGGTTGAGACACCCATACTCTTTATATTATCACTTTTTTTTTTCTTTCACAATATCATTCCGCAATATTAGACTATTTCTTACCCGTAAATAAAACCAAATTCAGATATCACGTTCAAACACTAAATCATCTAATTTTTGTTTTGTATATAAACTGTGACAATAAATGTCCATCCAAAAGTGAAAAATAAAAGTATAAATGTTTATATATATATATATATATATATATATATATATCAAAATAGGTTTTTACTATATACTTTCAAATGTTTAATTTTCTTTGTATTTTTAGATCATATTAAGGTAATAATCAAGATGATCACGTCAATGATAAGATCAATAACCAACACTTATTTTGCACTGAATTTATGAGAATCATATTTTAACTTATTTTGTTAGAAATACACATTGATAGAATTATTGTAAAATAATAAGAATAAAATATTTAAATCAGAATATATAGGACTAAAACAGTAAGAAAGTAAACACTTGTGATGTATGATAAAAAAAAAGTTGTCGTATTTGTGATATTTCGTGCAGAACTTTATTTGTCGTAATATTTTGATTCTCCATCATTCTTATGAAACAATATAGATATACGAATAAAAAATTAACAATAAGTTAACCCGTTATGCTTTTTTTTCAAGAATTATAACTGTATAATTAAAATGATGTAAAAAAATGTATGCACATACGTCTAGATGGCCTCTACAATAATTTGACAAAAATAAAATAAACTATACCAACTAAAAAATAATAATAATATTTGTATTTTTGGGTCAAACAACACCTTCAATCAGACCAAAACCAATATGAATTTTCTCTTCGGTTTCACAACTAAAGACGTGAGTTGCACCTTTCTAAAATAATGCAAATCTCTATATTTGTATGTTATCATTTCTATTTTTCTAATGTTAATTCTGAGATATTTATGTATTTTTCTTCCATAAATACAATCAAATTTTGATGTTATGTTCGATTCTCAGTTGTCCTTTTTTTTTTTCTTTTGTTTTATTTATTTTTTCATATTCATGGTTGATATTGGTAAAAGAAACCTAAGTTCAAATAAACTTTTGTGGAAGTAAACAGGTTATTCACTGTTTTCAAGATACATCTCATATGGATATGCATGTTAGTACCCAATACCCATAGATGATAAATACCCGTAGATGATACTTTTTGATTTTTTTAAAAATCTCCCTTTTAGTCAAATAAATTACATTGTTTATGACAAATATAAATTTATATTATATCTATCTATGGTTGTATTATATATTTTTTTTAAATTTATTAGAAAGAAATATAAAAAAGTATGAATTTGGTTGAGTATTAGATCGAACACCAAAATTCAATAAGATTCGATCGACTATTTTTTCCAAACAATATAATTCTATTTTTCGTATATTGTTTAGGCTCAAGTTTTGTTTTCTCATGCTACTTATTATTATTATTATTATAATAATTATTATTATTATTATTATTATTATTATTATTATTATCTATATATTTGTGATTTATACTATTTTTTAGCAATTATATAAATGCTGTAAATTTGGCTTCTCAAATGATAGAAACATTGTATATAGAATGTTTTGAAATAATTGTGGAAATGGAAAACATATTACATTTATATTTTGAAGGTTAATGAGTTATAGTTATATTTTGGGAATTAATGGCACAGAATACTACGTGATTTAAATTGGTAAGGAATAACTTCAGTTAACATTTTTCAATGAAATTTATTCAAATTTAGAGCATCCCAATCCTCTAATGTTGTTGTAAGATAAATTTTGACAAATGTCAAAAAACTAAATGGATTGTGAACCATGTAGGAAAAATGTTGAGTTCACAACTATTAAATTAAAAAATCATCTCCAATGCATAATGTAGTCTAATTACAATATTATCTACTTACGAAATATTAACATTTTAATATGAATTAATAAATTTAATTAAATAATTAAATAGCTTGAAAATGGTAAGAATAATTATCTCTCTTCTCTTCATTGACTAGCTAGAGTGTGGAGGAAAATGTGGATGAACCACATTCTTCTCTACATTGTGGACATTTTAATTATGTCCACATCACTACAACATTTGTAATCACATTGTACATTGGAGGATGAAAAATTGTAATATTACTAAATGTGTTGATGTGGAATGTAATTTACCACAACAACATTTGAGCATTGAAGATGCATTTAATCATTAATTTCAGAGAGCATTTTTAAATGTGAGTGGCTTGTTTCAGCATTAATACCACTAATAATGACATGTATCTATTATAGTTTAGGCGGAATTTTTTTTCCTTTCAGCTGCTTTACTTTAATATATATATATATATATATAAAGGATCATATGAGAATGACTCTTAATATATATATATATATATATATATATAGATAGATAAAGGATCATATGAGAATGACTCTTAATGCGAGAAATGAGAGTCTGGATCATTGGATCCAACATATCAATGGTAGGATGAAGTCAAATTAGGGTCAATCATTAATGGCAATTTAATAATTGGTTATCATGTTATGGTGAATTATGTGTATTTGACCAATAATAAGGATAAGTTAGTAAATATAAATATCAGGTGGGACCCACACACTATTTATTAAAATATTTTCTCTTTCATCACCTCCATCTCTCTTTCTTCATCCCAGCCCCGATTTCAGATTTCTACACACACACACGGCGGCCGACACACAGACACACACAGCGGCCGACGTTAGTAGATCCGCCGGAGCCAGAATTCACAGCTTCCTTCACCAGGCCACAGCCACCGGCGACATCTCCGCCTGCTGCCACCCGCCACAGCCACCAGCAGCCACCCGTTTCATCCACACTCGTCGTCGTCCTTTTTCTCCTCACTCGCCGCCGCCCGTTTCATCCAACACACTTCAATGGAAACTGCTTTGCTGCTCGTCGTTCAGACCCAAATCCGGCCCGTCGCTGCCGCGATTCTTCCTCCTCCGCCGTGATTCTCCCTCCTCCACTGCAGTCCGTCTCAAATACTGTAGAAATGGCCGCCGGGAAACGTCGCGATGGCAGTAATGTTCACCTTGGTTCAACGCCGGTGCCAACATCCCTCTTTCTGAAGTTCACGATTTTGGGAATGTTGAAGTTGTGATTTGTGGGGCTCATCTATGTAAATTAGATTAACTTTGGGGTTATTTTGAAAAAAGTATAAATCATATGTTCTTAGCCAAATTTATAATATAATATGTTCTTAGCCAAATTTATAAATACTCATACTATAATTAAGATTTTAATATTTTTTATTTGCATTTAAAATAATTCAGTCATTTTAAAAATAATTCCGTCATCAAACCAAAATAACAAATATTTTATAAAATAAAAATAAGTATTCGAATCGGAATATAAAATTTTGAATCAAAAATTTTATTGTCGATCGTTTTTCGAGAAGTACAGTGCAATTCAGTAGTCATTAATGTGCAATTTGTATTACCCTATTGTGCACACGTTGTGCATGAATTATTTACGACTTGCCTCAAATCAAACTAAAACTGAAAGAAATATTCGGGTTATTTGATCGGTTAACCTAACTAACATAAATAACCGAAATAATTTAGAAATTATATTATAAAAATACATTTAATAGCTTAAAATTTTATTTAATATTTTATATTACTTTTCATTATAAAGATCTAAAACAAATAAATAACAAAACAATATATTTTTTTATAATAGTCGATCGGTTCGATTATTTTGAAAAATAAAGCTTACATCAAACTGAACTAACTAAAATTTTAAAGGTACACACATATAATCGATCCGACATAAAGTTCGAATACAAAAAACCAAGTCAGTTGGGGTCGGTCGATATAGTGCAATCTGACAGTCACTAATGTGCAATCCGTCCAACATTAAAGTGCAATCTTGAATATATTATTCATAGTTCGACGTGTTCGATTATTCTGTTTATTTTAAAAAAAACTAAAACCTGACATTTAACCAACTAATATTATTCGATCGATTATTAAAATTACTGTATTTTTTGGTACAACCGCGTGTTCATTTATAAAGTGCAACACGATACGTTAAAAGGTGCAATGTATTGTTCTATAAAGTGCAACGTAATGATATATTAAGTGCAATGCTGAAATTTTGGTACGTTAGCATTTTTTTTTTGTGTGGATAAATGATGTGATGGATATTAAAGTATTATGTACATCCGTTTTTTTATTTTATATTGCGAAATATTGTGGCAGAAGCTGGGGACATTAATTGTGAAATGTGGCGATAAAGTGCAACATGTCGTATTATAAAATGCAACTTGTTGTTTTATACAGCGCAACATTTCGCTATATAAAGGGCATTAATTTATTCAGAGATAAATTGTGTGTATTCGAACACTAGCTTTGATAGATATGATCGTACATTGAATTAGCTTAAATAATTGAATATATGTTTATTTATTATTTTTTATTACATAATTTATTTATTGTTATAAATTATTTTTACATTATTTTAATATTTTATATTTTTTAACACTTTATTTATTATTTAATACATGTGCATAACATTATATAGAAAAAATAATTTAATATTTTAATACGTATTTTTTTATAAAGTGCATCGTGATGATATGTAAAGTGCACTACATATAAACTATGTATTTTGAAAATTATATTTAGTAGATATAATTGTACATCGAATTAACCTAAATAATTTATAATTTATTATTATACAAGTACATTGATTATTTTTATATTTTATATTTTTTTTGATGAAATTTAAAATTTTTTTATATAAAAATAAAATAATCTTACATCGAAGCTAAATAACTTAATTGAAATTAATAACAGATAATTGAGTTGAAACATATAATTTCGAACCATACTTTTTATTTTATGGAGTGCATTAATTTTTTTATGTGCAATTCCAAATATGATATTGTGCAATTTAATTACCATTAAACATACTTTTTATTTGATGGAGTGCTTATATTTTTTATGTGTAATTCCAATTTCCATATATGATATTGTGCAATTCAATTACAATTATTGTATGATTATTAAACTTTGGATAAATTATAAATTGGACCCAATAACTAAATTGAAATTTATTAAATTTATAAAATTCGCAATGAGGCCCCTGTAAAGTTTCAAATTCTCAAAAAAGTGACCCAGCCCAAATCTGTCTTCCTCGCTGGCCGGATTTCCAGGTTTCACGTTCGCGCCTACAGCTTCCTTTGAGGGTTGCCGGCGGGTCCGACCACCGGATGGTGAGAATAGGAGGTCGGAGGGTCCGACTTTGAGCTTGTTTCGACGGGGCGATGTGGCCGATCGATTTGGGTGTCCTCCATCGATTAGTGTTCCGGCCGTTCAAGTAGAGTCGTCATCGTGGGTTTGTTTCCTTGGACGGGATCGGCGGTAAACGACGAGTGGGAGAGATGGTTGATTTCGGTGTTCGATTTCAGCAGGAGGCGGCCATCTTCGGAGATCGCCGGCGGATGAGGGGCGGCGACGGCTGAGAAGAACCATGGCTGAGGCATCTGGCGGCGGGCAGGCGTCTGGCGGTGATCGGCGGGTGACGACGATGTGTTGTCGGCGGGTGTGTGCAAGCGTGCGATTGTGTTGTTGNAAATCACTTTTCATCCACTCACATAATTTTAACTACCATTTAGCAAAAATAGTAGCAAAAAAATAGGACATAATTTAATGCAACCCATAAATAGTAAGTTTTATTAATTTTTTATTTTATCTTTAAAAAAACATAACATTAAATGTTGCCTTAAAATTTCGGGCTTTAATTCATTTGTTATTTTAAATTCCAGCTAAGATCTATTAAGTGTGCATGTTTTCATTTTTATCTTTTTTCTTAGAAATAACGAACAACAATAAAATCTCAGTCTCTATATTTATAAAATCTCAATTCAAAAGGTAATAAATTTTATAATATCGGTCTTTATTTGTGCCTTTCAAAAAAAAAAAAAATTGAATGATATTCTTTAAATATCATTTTCCACAAATCATCACAATTTATTTATTTGAAACGTGTTATAATAAACTTGGTAATGTTTATCAATTTTTTGTTTACCAATCTATTGTTTTTTCTAAACTCGGTTTCAAAAGGTAAAATAATTTTCAAATTTCCAGTCTCAATAGTTGTGCATTTCAAAAAAAAATATTTAATGACAATATATTATTTGTTAATAGTACACAATTTTAAAAGCTCCATTATAAATTGTATGTTGATATCCAATCATTTTATAAATGCAACCGGCTTTGTTAAATCTCAATGAAAATATGGTAAAACAAAATGAGACGATCAACTTTATATGAAAATACAATAAAATTAATAAATCAATTTGAAGTTCACAGAAAATGAACATAATTAGTAATTTGAATAGTACACGGATTTTAAAACTAATACTCATGTGGATTCTGAAATTCAAACTTATACTTATCATCCTCTTTTGAAAATTGAATAATATATTGTCGGCAAAAATTTTTTAAATAGTTTTAGGTACATGTTTTTTTTTACATAATAGTTCAGAAAATTTTTTGGTAACTTCACATCTTTCAATAATGATACATAAAATTTTAGATATTTACATACACTATACAATTTTTTAGGTATTTTTATTATTTTAAACCTATATTTTTTTATTATTTTATACAAGATAATTTTATACTGTTTACTATTCATATATGATAAATTATTTCACATATTAACTCCACATATTGATTTATAATTATTAGTTAATACTGTTTATCTTTATATTTAATTTATAATTATTAGTTAATATTGTTTACTAGTATATATGCAAATAAATGTTAGTGTAATGGTTTGCTAAATTTTATATATGGATGGTATAAATGTAATAGAAATAATATTGTATGGGGCACCAGGTAATTATCCTCTCATTTTAAATGGACATGTTATTGTCAAGTCTTTTATTAATGTTAACTAGTACACACCCGTGCGATGCACGGGAGAGAGATATTAAATAAATTATTTTCACAGGATCTGTCCGTTTAAGTCTGAGAAGGGTTATCATCTATTTTCCACATCTTTTAATCACCGTTAAGTCCCGTTTAATTATGAAAAGGGTTATCGTCCATTTTCCACCTCTTTTAATCACCGTTAAGTTTAAAAAAATAGGGTTGTAATCTATTTTTCACATCTTTTAATCAGTGTTGTTTTATTAGTCAGAACATTAAACGTGAGCATGTTAAGGCTAACTTGTAAAATAACTAATATATTATTTCACTAACACATTTATACTAATATAAATTTAATATTATTATATATATTTATTCTTTGATAAAAGAGAAAATAACAATTTTACTTATTCTTGTTCACTATATAATAGTTAACTAGTGTACTTCCCGTGCGCTGCACGGTGGGTTTATTCCTCAAACCTTTTTATATAAATTTTATTTTAAATATGTTTCTTTAATAAAAAATAGAGATACAAATTATAAAAAATAGTATGTTATTAAACACTTCTCTATACACAACGTTATTGATTTGTAAAAGTTTAGGTATTTGATAATTTTTTATTAAATAGTAATCACCTTTTAACGCATAAAATTCACGGTTTAGAAACTCACAAAATTTGTCAATCATCCGTTCACACTCTCTATCCTAATATATAAAGTGTCATTTGCAAAAGCATCAGCAAACCCAAATTTGAATCTTGTATCTTTATAAATACGAAAAACATGTCATAAAGTACCAAATAATATAATAATTAATTAAAAAATATTTAATATTGTGAAAAAAAAATATTCTAACTGTGCAATACCATGTGTATGGGTGCACTTGGTGCAATGCATCTCGCAATCTTCACTCATCATCTTGCTATTGCACCTTAGTACACAAGGTACCACCAATTATCAATAATCGAGTTGATTGTGGGACAAACTCTTGTGTCCATAGTCTTTAAATAAAAACATTAAAATTTTAATCATTACAATAAAATACGATATCATTTATATGGAATGATTTTATAAACTAAAATTGGATATATTTTTTGTATTATGGAATCAGATTTAGCATGTATATTACAAAAAAAAAAATTGAAATCTAATATCTTATATGCAAATAAAATTTACTTTACTAACTCTAGTAGACTTAAATTGTGCTACCTTATGGAATTAGATTTTAGCATTTATATTGAAAAAAAATTGAAATCTAATATTTTATATGCAAATGAAATTTATTTTCCTAACTGTAGTGGACTTTTTTTTTTTAGAATTTTAGTTTTGTCAAATTACTATCAATATGAGAAGAATCGTAATCATTTTTCTTTTTGCAAATGAAATTAACTTTCCTAACTGTAGTGGACTTTTCTTTTAGAATTTTATTTTTGTCAAATTACTATCAAGACAATTTTCAATATATTCAAATTATACTTATTTTAGAATTATTACATATCTGATTTTTAGTTGGTGAAATTATAAAAAAATTCAATTGTCGAATTGTTAATTAGGTATGAAAATCGTGCAAATGAGTTTTACTATGCCTAGGGTACTGTTTTAGAAGTATAATAATGTCAAATTGCTATCATTTGGAGCTTTAAAAAGACTTAAATTGTGCTACCTTATGGAATTAGATTTTAACATTTGTTTTGAAAAAAAAAATCAAAATCTAATATTTTATATGCAAATAAAATTTACTTTTCTAACTGTAGTGTACTTAAATTGTGCTACCTTATGGATTTCAATGATAAATAGGTTTAAAATTAGTTTTTATTGTGGTTATGAACAAAAAATGAACAAAAAAAAAGAGTTTCATATGTGTAATTGTATTATATTATTGACAAAATCGTATTTTTTTATAATTGGTAATCTTTTGTTGAAATTAACTAAATTCGTATTTTTTATTGGCAAGAAAAAAAAAACCTTTGCAATAAACTGATAGTTTAAATTAACAAAAATTCAGACTTTTTGATTGGCAAGATAATCGGAGTTTAATAAAATAAATAGCATAAATATATCTGATAAATACGAAATTAGGCCAGATTTTGTTTTCAAACTGAACCAATGTTTATATTTTAAATTTAAAAAAAATAAAGATATCACATAGGCGAGATTATTCAAATTTTGGGAGAAAATATTACTCAATTTAGTAAATATTTTAAGCGGGAACCAAATATTTTTTCGATATTTTTTAGTTACTATTTCATATAAATATAATTGTCTCTTTATATATTAATAGATAAGATTCTATCCACCATTCTATATATGTTCAACCTAATATTTCACTTGCTAGCATGTAAATAACATGTTTTTGTAATATTCCCCCAAAAGAAAAGAACTGATAAAAGAATACACTTCTATACTAATTTTCTCTGAAGAAAAAAAAAAAGATAAAACTGCTTTAACATAATTTTTTGATATAATGAATGACAAATAATTATGTAAGAATTACTATTCTTCAAACTGATATGATATATAAGACCATGATGTATTACATCAAAATTTATGTCAACCATTATATTGCATATCCACCCAAAATATGAAGTACTACTGTAACGCAAAATTCGTATTATTGAATTTATAAACACGAGAACTTCGTACAAATGGATTTCAACGGATCAAATGAAATATAGTGGATTCTAAATCTCTATTATTCCTCTGATTAATTTCTTCAAGAACAATCTTCAAGTGGATTTGAGACTTTTGGAGACGAATCTTCAGTTTGATCTCCGCCGGTCTTGAATTTGGATTTAAATAACGTTTCTTCGAGGGCTTGACAGCTTGATCTCGAATTGAACGTCTTGATTTCCCAAGAACGTGAAGAACACGAGTCCTTGGTCTTCGTCGCAAAGTTGATCTTCGATCTTCTCTATGCCGGATTTGACTTTAATAACGTAATTCGGAGGCTTGGCAGCTTGTTTCCGGATTGAACGTCGGTCTTGAGCTTGAATGCGCTTGAATCTTCCTTCGAATCTTCAAGAACGCCTTTGGATCTTCAAGAACACTTGAATCTCGTTGTGAGAATTCTCTAGAGCTCTTTGAACTTGGAACTTGAAATATGAATATGAATTGTGAATATGAATTGTGATTTTCACCTTAGGAAGGGTCCCTATTTATAGATGTTAGGAGAGAGAGTCTTGGAAAAGAAGACTTCATTTTGATTGGTCCATAATTTTCAATATTTATTTATTAAAGAGATAATTAGAAGATGGACTCTTGGAAAAGAAGACTTCAATCTGATTGGTCCATGAATATTTATCTCTTTAATAATTATTAAAAGAAATAATTATTTATTTTACTCTCCAAGAAAATGACATGTGACATTCTTTAATTGGCCTTCAAAATATACATGTGGCATTCTTTAATTGGCCAACAATATATATTAAATAATCAATTAATTAATTATTTAATTTAGGAATTAAAATTTGATTAATTTCCCAAATAAAATAGAAAATTATTAAATTGATTTTAACATGTAATTTGACACTTGTCGCCATTTTATTGGCTCAAAATTTAATTGTCTACAAATGCCCCCTTGAGACTTGTTCACGGACGACGTGTCTTG